GGAAGGTAAGAGATGAGAATTACAAAATTTGTAAATTAATAAAATTATTTTAATGGTAACATTGTCAGATGTGGAAAATTATAAAAAAGTATTCCTGGAATTCCCAATGACATTTACCCTCCCTCTCGTCCCTCTCCCACTAAGCTGAGTAAGTTGTGCTAGGATAAGCGCATGGATGTAGGGGGATCACATGTGCAACACGAAGTAAAGGCTGAGGCTAATGTCGGTTTCTGATCCTCTAATGTCGCGAATGCCATTGAAACCCCACTCAGCCGACTTGAAAGATCTAAGCTGTTGGCTTGAGTGCCTTATCTTGTTCGCAACTCCAGCATGCCAGTTGTACGAGATTTGCTACCGCGATACGGTAGATGATTCCGATTTCAGCGTGCTGAATTAACATAAACGCCAGACTGTTTTGTGACAACTTCCTTTGGTTGCTTAAAATTCTTAGCAGCTTCTTGCTCTTCAGTTAATAATTTGGCGCAGTAGGATGGACCAAGGAGGCACACTAGCTACTGGAATCCATTCTTCAAGCGCTCTGCTCCTACCCACACGCAAAGCTCGATCTGTGTTTACAGCTTAGGGATGAAACACAAAATGCATCAAAACATTTCTTCATGCGCAAGACATCTTAGTCCAATCTCTTATCTCTTAATCTACTATTTTAAGTATTTCGTTCCGTGTTTGTTTTCCATGCCGTGTACTATAGCATACATTTCTGCGTTTTTTGCATAACTGTATGACCTTTACTGAGAGCGCTTCCCCAAGGTTGTTCATAGCTTTGAGGTAGTATGCCAGTATAAATTGTGAACAAATGCTTTTGGATAATTTATAGAATTTATGGAAAATTTGTCGATATGTCCGAGTAGTCCCTCGCCTCCTGTGTTAACCAATCGATGATCGGCGAATGTGTTGCGCTCGAAATTTACTGCTTCAGTAAACAGAAACACTACACCGCTTGACTTTTATGTTTCAGGAAGATGGGCTCTGATGAAGGACATTTCGGAAGCTTGACACTTCCGTTGTTCGGCGTTCTTACATGCGTTGGCGCCTACTTCATAAGGTTTATCTTACACCAAGAATATTTGGATGAGCTATAGTCCGGTTTACTAACTTAATTCTCGGACTGCTCTGATTACTTGATTGTCAGCCTGCTGGGCCCCTGATACCCTTTTCATCTCCTGGAAAAAGCACCGGTTCCGGGGTTCTCCCTGGCAAAAGCACTTAGCAAGGCCTTCAGCCGTTTCGAGATGTCACTGATGCGTAATGAATTTCATCACCTCATTTTCAACGTTGCCATTTCC